AAAAAAAAAAAAAAAAAAGAGACATGGGTGCAGTTTCACACCTGTCAAGGTGGGAGGACTGGTTGAGCCCAGACGTTCCAGACCAGCCTGAGCAAGAGTGAGAACTTGTCTTGCTACTAAAAATAAAAAAAATTAGCCAGGCATTATGGCAGGCATCTGTATTCCTGTATTCCATGGCAGGCACAAGGATCACTTGAGCCCATCAGTTTGAGGTTGCAGTGAGTTAGGCTGATGCCATGGCACTCTAGCCTGAGGCAATAGACATTTTGTACAGAAAAAAAAAAGAGTGACAGGATCTTGGACCAGGGGTAGTGGCTCAAGCCTGTAATCCTAGCACTCTTGGAGGATGATTCTTAACATCTAACATTTTACATAGATGATTATGTACAATTACAACTAATTGTCCACTTCTTAAATATACTTACTGAACGGGCACATTTTTTGGGGGGACTGCTAGAAAGTCCATCCAGTTGACCATGTTCACCCAGAAATCCTGTCACTTGGTCCAAGAAAGAAGATACATCTAATTGGTGCCACTCTACTAGCTTCTGACCTAAAGATTAAAAACAAGGATATATAAATATAATAAAATGTATATTCTTAACATTCTCAGTATTTCTTTTAGTACATTCATAATTAAAATTTACTGTGAACACACATCCCCCACACCTTGCCAGTGTTAAGTAACATAGTACCTTTATAACCTAGACAATACATCAATTATAAACCAGACTTCCACCCATCATGATAAGGTATCTAGCCTATCTGCTGGCATCACTTATTGCTGTTTAGAAAGAGATGCAGGCAAAACATTATCTATATAAAATGCAATCTATTAGTAAAAATATCAGTTCCACCTCCTGCTACTTCAGAAAGATTACAACCAGTACCTAAACAATCTTTAATATCTTAATAGTAGAAAACCTAAAGGGATCCCTTGTAAGATGAACGTACCAGTTATTCTTTGAAAGAACAAAACTACACAAACATAAAATACTGCAATCTTCCAAAATTGCCAGAGTATTTCCTAAATACACAGATTAGTAGATGTTTAAATAATTACAAAGAGAATACATGAGAAATCTTTACCTAAATTATTACAATTATGAAACCAGATCCAGTGAAATATTAAAGATCAATCACTTAGGTAAATGAAAGTTAAATGACAGGTTAAAGTCTGTAAGCTGATAAAAATCTTACCTGTCCGTGGGTCCAAAATGGAAACATAGGGGAAATCCCCAAGTTTATAAAACTGTATGTACCTCTGGCCTTCTTCACTGTCATGATAAACCTGTTAAATCATTGATATGAACAAGAAAAAAAGTCAGCCTCTTAAAAAAAAGACCAATATTGTCATATGCTAACAGTAATTAATTCTCTAAATATACATTTAGTGTAGTGTGTATGTGTTAGGATCTCATTCCTACATTAAACAGAAAATGAAAATCACATGGTATATAAAGACTTTCAAGTTCCTGCCCTTGGCCCCTTGTGGAAACTTACCATAAACCTCAATCTATTCCTTCTTTCCTCCCAGTTTAAAAGAGATACTGTTCTTACTGCTCAAGTTATCAGTTCACTATCATTCCTTACTCTTGATCACATAAATCTCAATAAATCATAATATATTAAGATCAAAGATATTCTCAGTCAATATTCATTTTTTCTTTCTACTTTTGCTGGTTTAAAAAAAGTGATCTTTTTGCTGAATAAAATAGAAGAAATTTTACCATTAAAAAAATTCTGAATTTAGGAGATGGAGATTGTAAAACATAAACAGGCACATTAATCATTAATAGCACATCTTATAGTGGAGAAAAATGAAGTTCATTCATAAATTTTTATTTTCTGCAACTTTTCATAAAATAAAAATTAGGTGCAAGATCATCAAGATCACCTGATCGGGCTTGGCGCCTGTGGCTCAAGTGGCTAAGGCGCCAGCCACATACACCTAAGGTGGCAGGTTCGAATCCAGCCCCGACCCGCCAAAACAACGATGGCTGCAACCAAAAAACAGCCGGGTGTTGTGGCAGGCGCCTGTGGTCCAAGCTACTTGGGAGGCAGAGGCAGGAGACGCGCTTGAGCCCAGTAGTAGGAGGTTGCTATGAGCTGTGAAGCCACGGCACTCTACGCAGGGGGATAGCTTGAGGCTCTGTCTCAAAAAAAAAAAAAAGATCACCTGATTGTAGTTCGTTAATTTCTAAATTCATAAAAATAAATTAGAGGACTAGCACTTTGGGAGGCCAAGGTAGGAAAATTACTTGAGGCCAACAGTTCAAGACCCGCCTGCACAATATACCTAGATCCTGTCTCCACCAAAAAAAAAAAAAAAAAAAATGACTCTCCATATAGAGTTTCACTATGTCACCCTCGGCAGAGTGCTGTAGTGTCACAGCTCACAGCAACCTCAAACTCTTGGGCTTAAGCAATTCTCCTGCCTCATTGCCTCAGCTTCTAAGTAGTTGGGATTACAGATGCCCGCCACAGTGCCCACCTGTTTTTTTGTTGCAATTGTCATTATCGTTTAGCAGGCCCAGGCTAGGTTTGAACCCACCAACTCCAGTTTATGTGGCTGGCACCCCAACCACTGAGATATGGGCACTGAGCCCACAAAAAGTTTTTTTGAAAAATTAGCCTGTCACCATCGCACATACATGTAAATCCTAGCTAATTGTAAGGCTGAGGCAGGAGGATCACTTGAGCCCAGGATTTCAAGGCTACAGTGAGCAATGAATATGCCACTGTATTCTAGCCAAGAGAGCAAGTCTCAATTTAAAAAGAAAAACAACTAGAGGCTCAGCACTTATAGTTCAGTGGCTAGGGTGCCAGCCACATACACCAGAGCTAGCAGGTTCAAACCCAGCCCAGGTCTGCCAAACAACAATGACAACTACAACCGAAAGTAGTGGTTGTGGTACAGGTGTGCATGGCACCTGTAACTCAATGAGTAGAGCGCCGGCCCCATATACCGAGGGTGGTGGGTTAGAACCCGGCCTGGCCAAACTGCAACAAAAAAATAGCCGGGTGGTATGATGGGCACCTGTAGTCCCAGCTACTGGGAGGCTGAGGCAAGAAAATCACCTCAGAGTTGGAGGTTGCCCAAGAGTTGGAGGTTGCTGTGAGCTGTGACTCCACAGTACTCTACCAAGAGCAACAAAGTGAGACTCTGTCTCTAAAAAAAAATATCAACCAAACAAAGAAAAAAATAGCTAGGTGTTGCAGAGGGTGCCTGTAGCCCCAGCTACTTAGGAAGCTGAGGCAAGAGAATGAGAATCGCTTAAGCCCAAGAGTTTAAGGTTGCAGTGAGCTCTAACGCCACAGCACTCTACCAAGGGTGACATGAGACTCTTGTCTCAAAAAAAAAAAAAAAAGAAAAGAAAAAAAAGAAAAACAACTAGAGCCACAAAGACTAAGAGACATATCTAAGAACATACAGAGTACCAAAGTACAGCTAAAATCAAAGCCTTAGCTGATGTTTTCCAAGACCTTCTATACCTGCACTTTCCAATACAGTAGTCACATTTAAAATGTGGCTAGTCCAAATTAAGATGTACTGTATGTATAAAATACACACTATATCTTACAGACTTAACACCCTCTCCACCAACAACAAAAATATCAGCAAACTATGTCATTAACATTTTTATGAGTTAAATGATGGATATATTGACTTAACAAAATAGGTTATTAAAATTAGTTTTACTACTTTCTTCTTTTTTTCTTTTCTACTGTGGCTAGGAGAGAAATTTATTACGTATGTGGCTTACATTGTATTTCTACTGAACAGTATAGCTGTATACTCACTCTATCTTCTGGGATATGAATATTATATGGTTTGTATGGCTTCATTCTTTTTTCTTCCTCCTCCTTCCCTGGGAAGTTCTTCATTGCTACTCCTGCACTCGCCTTTACTAAATATTTTAATTTTTATGAGTGGTTTTACTTTTTATAAATCATAATTTAGTTCTTCATTTTTCTCCAACTTACAACTCAATTCTTCCTCTCCAATATCACATAGTAAAAAGTAAAATACTATAAAAATTTAACTTAATTTAATACTATAAAAAATTACCTCTCCTTCTCACCTGCCAGAAAATGAAATGCTCCCGGATAATATTCTTCACAGCTTCATTGCTCCATACATCACGGTTGAGGCACTGGCACGCAAAGTCTTGTACATTTTGAATGTTTATCATCAGCCACTTATTCTGCATCTGGCCACACTCTTTGGCCTGTAAGAGTAAAGTTATACGTTTGTTAGAAACAATTTCTACTTGGTGTTTGTCACACGTTAGTTTCAAAAATTGTCCTGTTTCCACATCAATACTAAGTTTTTTCTCAGGTATGATACCTAAGTTTTCTGCATTGTCCTTAAATTTCCTTTGCATAAGTATATATAATTATATTGTTCATTTTCAAGCATTTCACAATTTAAACGAGCCACTCTTTTATCTGCTGTTATTTGTTATAATAGCTGAAATTCCTTTTTTTGGTGACAGAGTTTCACTATATTGTCAAGGCTAGAGTGCCATGGCGTCAGCCTAAGTCACAGCAACCTCAAACTCTTGGGCTCAAGTGATCCTCCTGCCTCACCCTCCCAAGTAGGTGGGACTGTGTAAGTGCCCGCCACAACACCCAGCTAGTTTTTCTATTTTTAGAAGCAAGAGTATCACTTTTGCTTAGGCTGGTCTCAAACTCCTGAATCCAAGTGATTTTCCTCTCACAGTGCTAGAATAATAGGCATGAGTCACTGTGTCCAACCCTGAATTTTTTCTCTTTTTTTTGAGACAGAGTCTCCAGCTATCACCCTGGGTAGAGTGCCATGGCATTATCAAATCAGTTGAAAATCTAACACTTGAAGAACATACAGGTACTAAGAATAAGGTTTCAACAAGGTTTCCACAATCTTACTAATACTATTATCCTTTTTGCAGGCCTCCTGCATAAGAAATTATTTTTTAATATTCCCCTATTGATTCCACAGGTGAAAATCTAAGTTCTAAAAGAAGCAGTATGCTTGCATTGAACCAGAAAGTTATATTTAACTGGTCAAAAGTTTAAAGTATACAAATATAATAAAATAATTCCTTGTGCCTAAGAAGTAATATTTCCATTTAGTTCCTTATTTGTAGGATACAGGTTTAATAAATGGAAGATAAATGAATAATCAAGCTGTCTTAATTGAAGAAAAATTACCTGAGAATAAACAAAAAATGACCAAACATTATTGAGCTAGACTAGTGAGCACATACCACTGTTAACAGTGTTATGTTAAATCTATTCCAACAACACTGAGAAGAAAATAAGCTGTATAAAACTGAAAATGAATAAAAGCCCAGAGTATAAAAGTGATGAGGCTCAGCACCTGTGGCTCAAGTGGGTAAGGTGCCAGACACATACACCTAAGGTGGCAGGTTCGAATCCAGCCCAGGCCCGCCAAAACAACAATGATGGCTGCAACCAAAAAACAGCCGGGCGTTGTGGTGGGCGCCTGTGGTCCCAGCTACTTGGGAGGCTGAGGCAGGAGACTCGCTTGAGCCTAGGCAGTGGAGGTTGCTGTGAGCTGTGATGCCACGGCACTCTACCCAGGGGGATAGCTTGAGGCTTTGTCTCAAAAAAAAGAAAAAAAAGTGATGAAGAATCATTTATTTTTGTTTTTAAAAATTTGTTTGTTCATATTTATACTTTATTTAATTCAGACTCATGTATTCAATTTACTAAGAAACTACTGTGTTTCAGGTACATTTATAGCAGTTACAAAAATCCCTGCCTTCATGAAGTTTACATGGGGAGAAACTTTATACCAGTAAAAGAAAGATGGAAATGACATCCATAACGAGGACACTGCTGAGAAATTACTGTTTGAAGGAAGGGTCCAAAGAAGGCATGACTTTCAGACAAAGCAACAATATTCAATTTAAGTCCAAAGATCTACCATATAGCATGAAGACTATAGTTAATACCATGGCACTGTACAGTAAAAATTTGCTGAGAGTAGATTTTAGGTGGTCTTACCACACACAAAAAAGATAATGGAAGGTGATGGACAGGTTAATTTGCTTTGACTATAATAATCATCATCAAAACATCACACTGTATATCTTAAATTAATATTTTATTTAAAAAAAAAAAGGGAGAGTCCTACACAATCTCATCAAATATACCAATTATGAGAATCAAGTTCTATACATGAGAATGAACCATGGGGACAGTTAAGGAATCTATTCAGTTGTTCTGAATAGATTTCAAAGCTCTTATATGGAGACCCAAGGGTAAAACAGTAGAAGACTAACATCTTTCCTAATCTCAGCCTATCAGGGAGGCATAAAAAGGATTAGAGAAAAAATATGTTTTGGTAAATATATATGCACAGAATGAAGTCAAGAAGAAATGATATTAAAATATGCATAGCAGTTTTATGAAAATAATTTTATTTTTCCTTACTAGTTTCTAAATTTTTCATGTTGTCTAATTTGAATAAAACTAAATATAAGCTATACATAAAATTCAGTTATTAAAAACTTCATATTATGTATTTAGTTATTGAATAGGCTCTTTACATTTTCAGCTTAATATTTTCACTTGCATAAATACTTTTGAAATTTACAAAGTACCATAATTAGAACTAGGTGCACATATATGTATAAATGAATCACAACTTAAAAAATAAATATATCAGGCTCATGTACACTGGGAGGCTGAGGCAGGTGGACTGCCTGAGCTCTTGAGTTTGAGACCAGCCTGAGCAAGAGCGAGACCTTCTTGCTCTAAAAAATAGCCAGGCGTTGTGGCGGACCCCTATATTCCTAGCTACTCGGTAGGCTGAGGCAAGAGAATCACTTGAGCCCAAGAGTTTGAGGTTGCTATGAGCTAGGACAACACTCTACCAACGGTGATAAAGTGACACTCTGTCTCCAAAAAACAAACAAAATCTCTTCTCATGAAATAAGAAGTATTATGGGGCCAGGCACAGTGGCTCATACTTGTAGCCCTAGCACTCTGGGAGGCTGAGGTGGGTAGATTGCTTGAGCTCAGGTGTTCAGGACAGCCTGAGTAAAAGTGAGACCCTGTTTGTACTAAAAATATAAAAATGAGCTGGGCATTGTGGTGGGCCCTTGTAGTCCTGGCTACTTGGAAAGCTGACACAAGAGGATCTTTTGAGCCCAAAAGTTTGAGGTTGCTGTGAGCTATGACACCACAGCACTCTGTCCAGGGTGATAGAGTGAGACTATCTCAAAAATATATATATGTAATAATAATAATAATCAACACACTACGGGCTGTGCAAGAAGCCTCACACCTGTAACCCTAGCACTCTGGGCGACCAACGAAGGAGGATTTCCTTGAGCTCAGGAGTTTGAGACCAGCCTGAGCAAAAACAAGACTCCATCTCCACTAAACATAGAAAAGTTAGCTGGACATTATGGCAGGTAGCTGTACTTCCAGATACTCAAGAGGCTAAGGCAGGAGGATCGCTTGAATCCAGGAGTTTGAAGTTACTGTGAGCTAGGCTAATGCCATAGCACTATAGCTGGGGACAATAGACTTGAGACTCTGGCTCAAACACAAAACAAAACAAAAACCACAAAAAACACATACTAAGATCCCCATAAAAATAAAGGCAAAAGATACCTACAAACAATTCATTAATTGCTAATAAATCAACCACACTATTCTTAGTAGCAGTCAAAAATTGTTTTCTTAAAGTTATCAAGACAGGGGCCAGGCTCAGTGGCTCATGCCTGTAATCCTAGCACTCTGGGAGGCCGAGGCAGGTGGATCACCAGAGCTCATGGGTTCAAGACCAGCCTGAGCAAGAGCAAGACCTTCTCTCTAAAAATAGCTGAGCATTGTGGCGGGTGTCTGTAGTCCCAGCTACTCTGGAAGCTGAGATAAGAGAATTGATTGAGCCCAAGGGTTTGAGGTTGCTGTGAGCTGTGATGCCAGGGCATTCTACTGAGGGCAACAAAGTGAGATTCTGTCTCAAAAAAAAAATTTTTTTTAAATAAAGTTATCAAGGTGGCAAAGATTCTAAAATAATGCCACACAAGACTAATAAAAGGACTTCACCAAACAAGCAATCTCATACATGGTATACTGGTAGTAGCAGTATATTTCATGGAAGTCAGGGCATACTTTGTTTTATGTATTTATTTATTTATTTTGAGACAGGGTCTCACTTTATCACCTTCAATAAAGTGCCATGCCTCTACTGAAGCTCAAGCTCACAGCAACCTGAAACTCCTGGGCTCAAACAATTCTCTTGCCTCAGCTTCCCAAGTAGGTGGGGCTACAGGTACCCATGCCTGTTTATTTTTAGAGACAGAGAAGACAGCCTTGCTCTTGCTCAGGCTGGTCTTTAACTCGTGAGCTCAAGTGATCTACTCGCCTTGGTCTCCCAGAGTGCTAGGATTACAGGTGAGCCACCAAGCCTGGCCTTAGAGTATACTTTTAAAATAACTTTACAAGAAGAAAACTGAAGGCTTGGCACCTGTAGCACAGTGGTTATAGCGCCAGCCACACACACCAAGGGTGGCAGGCTCGAAGTCAGTCCCAGCCAGCTAAACAATAATGACAACTGTAACAAAATATAGCGGGGCACTGTGGCGGGCACCTGTATTCCCAGCTACTTGGGAGGCTAAGGCAAGAGAATTGCTTAAGCCCAAGAGATTTCTGTGTGTTTTTTTTTTTTTTTTGAGACAGAGTCTCATTATGTCACCCTCGGTAGAGTGCTGTAGCATCACAGCTCACAGCAACCTCAAACTCCTGGGCTTGTAGCAGGCACCACAATGCCTAGCTATTTTTTATTGTTGTTGTTGCAGTTGGCCCCGGGTTCGAAACCACCAGCCTCAGTGTATCTGGCTGGCGCTGAAACCACTATGCTATGAGCGCCGAGCCTATGCCCAAGAGTTTGAGGTTGCTGTGAGCTGTGACACCAGAGCACTCTACTAAGGGCAACATAGTGACACTCTGTCTTAAAAAAAAGAAAGAAAGAAAAAGAGAAAGAAAAATAACCGAAAATATTCCTAACACAAAGAAATTTTAATGCCTGAGGTGATGAATGCTACAATTATTCTGATTTGATTTTTTTTTTTTTTTTTTTTGGAGATAGAATCTTACTTGGTTGCCCTCAGTAAAGGTGACACAGAGTGTCAGGAAGTCATAGCTCACAGCAATCTCAAACTCTTGGGCTCAAGTGATACTCTTGCCTCAGACTCCCTAATAGCTAGGAATACAGGTGCCTACCACAATGCCCAGCTATTTTTTTTGTTTTGTTTTGTTTAACAGGCCTGGACTGGTTTCAAACCCACCAGCCCTGGTGCATGTGCCTGGTGCCCTAACCACTGAGCTATGGGCACCTAGCCTACCCTGATTTGATTAATTCACATTGTATGCCTGTATCAAACCATCATATGTACCCTTTAAAGACATACAACTATTATGAATCCAAGACAAGAAGGCTATGTTAATCAGTTGGATGAAAGTATTTCAAATTGTATACAGAAACAGTACACTTACCCCATGATAGTATTAATGTATACTGCTATGGTTTAATAAAAATAAAATAAAATAAAAAATGATAAAAAAAAAAACTATTATGAATCTATAATAATTAAAAATAAAAAACTTTGGCTCAGCGCCTGGAGTGGCTAAGGCGTCAGCTACATACATCAGAGCTGGCAGTTTGAATCCAGCCTGGGCCTGCTAAGCAACGACAACTACAACCAAAAAATAGCCAGGCTTTATGGTAGGCACCTATTCGATTTGGGAGGCTAAGACAAGAAAATCACTTAAGCCCAGGAGTTAGAGGTTGCTGTGAGCTGTGATGCCACAGCACTCTACTGGGGGTGACATAATGAGATTCTGGCTCAAAAAACAAACAAACAAACAAAAGAAAACTATATTTCATATATTGCTGGTAGAAATATAATGCAATATAACCTTTCTATCAATATAACCTTTATGTATCAAGTCAATGGATGGCCAGAAGAGATCTGTAAGGGTAGTTTCTTACCTACATAACATATATCACGTAGAAATACTAAAGATGCCAATTCCCTACTTACTAAAAATATATTTTTTTCTCTTAAATAGATAAAAAATAGCAATAAAGGGTGGCAACTATGGCTCAGTGAGTAGGGCGCTGGCCCCATATATTGAGGGTGGTGGGTTCAAACCCGGCCCTGGGCAAACTGCAACAAAACAATAGTTA